GCCCCTAGGGTTCTATACTTCTGACCGAAGAGAAGAGTTCACACGACCTCTGCCTGGGTTGTGCCTTTAAAGCAGTTCAACAGTGGGGGCCGAGATGGGTCAAAAAATAATTTTCGCTGAAACTTTTGCTATGGGGGTTATCGAGGGTCCTGATCACGAATATGACATCCATTTTTGGCGCTGGCGCCAAATTGGCGCCACTTGGCGCTGTAAACTTCTGAATAGGGGTTATTTGGGGCCCTGATCACGAATATGACACTGGTTTTTAACATTCGTGCTGTTTAACGCATATTTTCTGCTTTTCTAAGCTTTCTCACCTATGGCGCCTAGGACTAAGCTTAGGGGAGGGGAGTGAAACTCCGGAGTGGGTAAACCACGCACCGTGTGGCAAAAGTTGGAGTGTGTTAGACCACAGGGGAGTGGCCTACTCACTTTGGAGCCCTCCACTATTCAAAGGCTTAGTCCTGATTGCGATCTAATTAGTGCGAGGGCGCAGACGAGCAGGAAGCAGGCGCCGAATAGCGCTAACAACAAAAACGAATGTCATATTCGTAATCAGGACCCCAAATAACCCCTATACAGAAGTTTACAGCGAATTTAGTGGGAATCAGTCGTGGCGCCTGGCGCCAAATGGCGCCAAATTGGCGCCAGCGCCAAAAATGGATATCATATTCGTGATCAGGACCCTCGATAACCCCCATAGCGAAGTTTCAGCGAAAATTATTTTTTGACCCATCTCACCCCTACTGGGGTTGTAATAGTGCAATAGTGCCAAATTTTGAACAATACAAAAACAAGTTTCGTGGCGAAGAAAGGCTAGAGGCACAACAAAAAGGAGCAGTCGGGGTAATCGAGTTTGGGGGGATGTACTAGTACAGAGAAAACAAGCTTAAGCGGTGTGACTAAGCAGATATCGCATTTTTGAGCCCACGCCGTGGAGTGAATGGTGTGGGACGTACTGTAATGCGTTATATTGAACTTGACGCCTAACCGCTACAGTATGCGGTGCGACTCCTCTGTCGCGCCTGCGTCTCTGACTTCGTCGCGCGACGGGCCTCCTGGGGGGTACCCACACTTTTTCCATTATTTTGGGTGCAGTATTCTTACGTCATTGATACAGAGTTCAATATGTGTGATAAACGGCCAATGCAAAGGAAGGTACAATAAGTGATGAGTTAAAACCTCGTTGTGAACGTATTCTAATTAATTTACTACACCAGGTTTGCTCCGCCCGCTATCGCGCGCATCACAGGGTAGGGAGGAACCACGGAATAGCAGCATGACGTACTCCATTAACCACCTCACTACTAAATGTGTTATACCTCCTTCTACCCCTTCTCTCCGACGATGGCAGCACCATCTACAGGGTGGTCCAAAATTATGAGGACCGCGTGCGCGCGCGGTCATATCCACTTTTTTCCGAGTCGCTCCATTTTCATCTCCTTTTCTGTGCACCATGTGTATTCTTCCTAATGAAACCAAATTTCATGCAGTTCTCAAAACTAGTGAAATAACAACACCTCCTTATGTCAGTCCTCAAATTGAACTCACTAGGGCTCTGGCACGTTACATCTAGTCTAACGTATCAGAAGCTCTTATGAGCAACAGTTCAACTCTTCAATAAGTTTGGAACCACCACAGATGGAAAATTCGGGGACTCGAAAGTTACAGTTACCACCAGGATAATTATCAGATGCAGAAACTAGGTCTCCCCTTGTCGACTTTCGTACTCCCAAAATGAAAAAATTGATGTGAAAACCCAGCCAGACTCTAAAGACACATCTGTAGTGGATAGAAAGCCACTTGAGTAGTCTACTTGGGACTTTTACAGGACCGAGCACCCAAGAATAAAGCAAAAATTCTCTAAAAAGCGATTTTTCGAGTTCGTTGCTTTCGAAGAATTGTTACAATGGAACCTCCACCTAATAGCTCTAGATTTCTGTATTTTACACCCTGGAGACAAGCGCAAATAATGCCCCACAAAACGTTTGATCCCCTGAAGAAAGCAGAGCAGAAGGCCTGGAAACATTTTGACACGCCTCAGTTGCGTGCCACCGCACGCGCCATCCCCTTCATCTGAAGGCTCGTGTAAACGGGGCAGGTGGCAGATCTCAATTCTATTCTGGAATTACTTTGAGATAAGAGTTACAAACACTTCCCTGAAGTTTGTTTGTTCCATCAAGCTACTATGCGTTTTTAACGACACAATGTCTTGGTCCTCATAATTTTGGACCACCCTGTAGAATGAGACTAAGTGTGTTGCATTTTTGTAGCCATTGTGGGTGTTATCACAATCACCACATCAGGTTAGAATAATACGTCAACATGAATATAGACCTTACTCTTAAAAACGGTCGTTCTCTCTCAGTCTCTCCTCCCCCACCTCCCCCTCCTTATACCCTCCTCTCCGGCGCATGACAGCGCCATGTTCTCCCTCCCTTTCTCCTCTCCCCCTTCCCTCCCTCTTTCTCTCTCTCCCCCTCCCTTCCAGCCTCCCCTTTCTTGCCCCCTTCCCTCTACCCCCCTCCCTCCCCCCCCCGCTCATCCGGCTGCCACGGCAGCACCATGTAGAATGAGACTGAGTGTGCTCGATCGGTGTTTATATAGCCGCTGTGGGTGTCAGGGTCGGTCCTATCGTTGTTACTTTTTCAAAAATTTTTACGACCCCCTCCCCCAAGGTGGACTTGATACGACCCCCTTTTCGACACCTCGACCACCATCATCCTCTCTATAGTATTTAATTCTGGTATTCTGGTACCACTCAACCCACCAAACTCCGCCCACTTTTTCCTCCAAAATTGCCGTCGGGGGGGGGTATATAGCTACTCCGAAACGGTAAAATTCTCGAAAATTTCCTATAATTTCCTCTATTTCCACCATTTCACCCCTACTTTTACCCAATTTTACTTACCTTCCCATACCCTCATTTCAACCAGGTACAACCCCCCGTTGTTACCAGTAACAGCGAAGGTAGAGTGGTAGATTGCCCTATGATGCGACTTCTATTAAATTATTTTATTGAACAACACTTGTAAATACTAACATTTATTAACATCTCTTATACCACAATTCCTAAAGCAATTATTGACACATATTACAACTTATACAATTTATTTCCTACATTAGTTAGCGTTATGTTTGGTTAGCCCTTACTCTGAATTCGTATTGGGTTCTTCAATATTGATTTGTGCCTTAGGTGTTGGTCGATAGTGGCTGGAGGTGTGAGTTGGTGGTCCTTGGTTAGTGATATTGATTGGTGGCCTTGGCCGGTGGATGATCCACTGGCTGTACCTTATTGATTGCCTTGTGCTTATTGATTATTTGGTTTGTTGCTGGCGTTGCCGCCTTAGGTTATTGGTGCGACCGGAGTCGCTTGTTGGAGACCGCTGGAGACGACTGGAGAAGTTGAGGAGACCGGCGAAGACCGCGAAGACTGGCCCGGAGTCTCCGAGTGCGTATTTATACCCCCAGAAATGGGTGGTATTTATACCCGGGCCAGGGGGCGGTCCGTTGGAATGGCTGGTTGGAATGGACTGGCAGTGCGGCCAGCGGCAATTTGAACGCAGGTTTTGAGTTAGTTAATCAATAGGATGACGTGTCAAGGATCCACCTTGATTTCTTCGTCGCA